GACCAAGTGTTGGTGAGGCTGTAGGGGAAATGAAACTTTCTTACCCAGCTAGCGGGAATGTGTAATGGTACAACCACCACTTTTTTTTTTGAGAGAGAGCCCAAAGCTGTCTCCCTGGGTAGACTGCTGTGGCATCACAGCTCACAGAAACCTCCAAATCCTGGGCTTAAGCGATTCTCTTGCCTCAGCTTCCCAAGTAGCTGGTACTACAGGCATCTGCCCCTGCCCAGCTATTTTCTGGTTGTAGTTGTCCTTGTTTGGCAGACCTGGGCTGGATTCAAACCCACCAGCTTTGGTATATGTGGTTGGCACCTTGGCCACTTGAGCTATAGGCGCTGAGCCACAACCACCACTTTTTTTTTTTTAAGAGACAGAGTCTCACTTTATCACCCTCAGTAGAGTGCTGTGGCATCACAGCTCACAGCAACCTCCAACTCCTGGGCTTAGGTGATTCTCTTGCTTCAGCCTCCTGAGTAGCTGGGACTACAGGCGCCACCCACAATGCCCAGCTATTTTTTGTTGCAATTTGGCTGGGGTCAGGTTTGAACCCGCCACCCTTGGTATATGGGGACGGCGCCCTACTCACTGAGCCACAGGTACTGCCCCACAACCACCACCTTGAAAGAAGAGTTTGGCAGTTTCTTTCATGTTCTTTCTTTTATTTCTTGCTTCCTTTCTTTTCTTTTTCTGTCCCCAAGCTGGAGTACAGTGATATAAACATAACTTACTAGAACCCTGAACTCTTAGGCTCAAGCAATCTTCCTGCCTCAGCCTCCTGAATAGCTAGCACTACAGGCACATACTACCACACCTATCTAACATTATTTATTTTTATTTATTCATTTTCGAGACAGAGTCTTACTATGTTTCCCTGGGTAGCATGCCATGTCACCATAGCTCACAGCAGGTGTCCTCAAACTACGGCCTGCAGGCCACATGTGGCCCACCTAGGACATTTATCCAGCCTGCTGGGTGTTTTTGCTGCCGCTGCCTGTCCTGCTTAGCAGCTGACTCAGCCTGGGGCCCGCAGTCCGGCCCTCTAACGGCCTAAGGGACAGTGAACTGGCCCTCTGTTTAAAAAGTTTTAGGACCCTTGACTCACAGCAACCTCAAACTTTTGGGCTCAAGTGATCCTCTTGCCTCAGCCTCCCA